GGCGGCGGCGGCGGCGGCAGCTCTGGCCCTGCCGTGCTCGCAGCTGAGAATCAACAAAGGGAGGCGGCGGGCGAGCGGGGGAGGGGCGCCGCCGAGCGTTCGCTGGCTGCTGTGGAATAATAAAAAATAATTAATAATGATAATAAGAGAAAAAAATCCCCCGGCTTTCATGGCTCTGGGTTTCCGTATGGCTGCAGCGGGAAGCGCGCTGTCCTTGAGGCGGCCTCTCTCGCCTGGCCTGCCCGCCCCTCCCCCTCCCTCGCCCCCTCCCCTCCCCGGGAACCGAAAGGTCTGCAGCTGACAAATATTATCCATTCTCCCCATCGATCGCGGAGTGTACAGATGTGAGCGCTTGATGTGCCCGCGGAGCGGTGGATCCTCCCTGCTCGCTCGCTCTTGCCCAGGCTCCGCTCACCGCCCCCTCCTCCCCCTTTGTTCTCCTCCCCTTTCCCTCTCTTTAAATAGATTTCAGGGCGCTGCCTGTTGGAGAGCAGCTGGCGATCTCTCCCGAGAGAGGGAACGAGCGCAGCCCGAGGTGCCCTGTCACCAGCCTCCCTCCCCCACCTCGCCTTCCCGTTACGAGCCCCCCTCCAGTTTCCAAAACAGAAAACACAAGGAACACCCTCGTCCACTGCACCGCGAGTCTCTCCGAGCCTTTGGATCCCTTTTGCTGTCCCCGTGCTGTTCCTTGAGTCTGTGCCTGTCTGTGCTGGGAAGGGAGGGGGGCACAGGGCCGTGGCAGAAGAGCCGAGGGTGGAGATCTTTCCCCGGCAGCAGCAGGAACGCAGCCCGGGTCACGCTAAAAGGGTACAGTTTACGCATTAGGGAAAGTCGGCAGAGGCGGCCCTTTTATTCGTCTTTTGCAGATGGGAGATTAAGTGGGCAGCGCCTGGTCTCAAAGGGGCCGGCAGCTCGGCAAAGGGTTAACCCGTCGGCCGGTAATCGCGGACACGCATACACATGCTCACACACGCGCGCGCGAGCGCGCCCTCCTCGCTTGCCCGAGCGCCCGCTACGGCCCGCAGTGCACCGGGGGCTGGGGGAGTAGCGGGGGGAGAGGGGATGGCGGGGGAGGGGCGGGCTTAACCAGGCCGCTCGACTGAGCCGGGGCCACCTCGCCGTCTGTCACTTAAATGATTGTCCTCCGCTCCGCTCAGTGCGGTCAGTACGGGCTGTTAACAGGCAGTTGCAATCAGTTTCTGAAAGGTCAGCCAAGGTCCTCCGGCTCTCGCAGACGGAAGGCATTACGAAACCGCTTTTGTATCTGCAGGCACTTTAGAGAAAGAAGCGAGGAGGGGCGCACCGCAGCGCCGCGGCTGCTGCGGGCCCGGGGAAAGGGTCGCGGGCCTCGGGGGAGGGGTCTGCAGCCCCGCGGCCATGGCCGGGCGGTGGGAAAATCACCGGTGGAGTGACCATGACCGTTCAGGTTTCGATGGGGAAGCAGGCGAGGGGTAGGGAGAGCAGGCAGCAAAAGCAGGAGAAACGCTAGGAAGTGGGAGAGGCGTCCTGGTTCCCCTCCTCGCCCGGCGCCGCCTGCGGCGCACATCAGAACCCGCTCCGGCGCGGCCTTGGGCGCAAGGGAGACCCCCACTCCTTCTCCCAGGCCCTCCAAACTCCGGGAAGCGGGGTGGAGAGTGGTTGCGGGGGGAGACCCTCGCCGAGCGAGCGAATCCCTGCGCGGTGTCTGAAGACGGTGCCGCGCCGCCGCTAGAAGTCGTCCATCAGCAACCAGTCCAACCTGCCAGTGATAATGTGCGATCAACACCAAATCACCCCCGCCAGGCGCGATCCATCATCGCAGCGCGCCGCGGGCCCGCGTGAGGCTGACTCGCGGCTGGAGGTGGGGGGCGCAGAGCAGGAGGCGGTCGCCCAGCACCGGGGACGCTCAGCGCACTTCGCTGCCCCTCCCAGAGGCCTGCACCCCGGCGTTCATAACTCTTCAAGTTGCCCAGCTGCGGAGCGCAAACCCGGTGGCTCTGAGTTCTGGGCGCAGGTCACTTAGAAGCCCGCGCGTCCTCCGCGCCCAGTTACCCTGGTCACACCCTGCAAAGCTATCTGTTCCTTGGCAGCTGCCCTGCCTGTCCCCTCCCCCTCCTCTGAGAAAGCGTAGCTGGCGGGAAATTAATATTTAATATCGTGAAATTGATTAAAGGGCTGGAAGCTGGCGATGGGGTGGGGGGAAGGGTAGGGGCTCCCAGCGTAATTAAAGATCTGAGAGTCGTGGCCGCTTCTGCTCTGTCCCGGCCACACGTGGCCTTTGTGAAGCCCAAGCCAGGTTTGGTGGGGCTGACCCCTAAGGCCGGAGCAGCCCAGGTTCTGGCTTGTGGGTGTGCGTCCCTGGGGCAGATCATCGGAGAACTGCTATCTAGAAAGTAGTAACCTTTGCTGCACCTGGGGCTGTGAGGAGTGCGCCCTCCCTAGCCTGCTATTATGTGGGTCCCATCTTTGCTACTGGAGTTGCAGGGTTGAGTGCTGCAGCTCCTTGTTGCTTGTTCCGTGAAGACTCACCTTCACTGACCGGAAGGCCCTTGCCCTCTAGTGCATTCTGCCCTGTGCTTCCAAGACCCCTAGAGCGGCCTCACAGTGGGCCCTGCTCACAGGCCATTCCCCCAGACCCTGATAAGAGTCCTCGGGACCTCTCCTGCAGCGCTTTGGGAGGGGGAGGACCACTTTTGTCCTGCAACTTGGGGCTGCTAAGGCCGAGGCTGCCTGGGGCTCCCACCAGCTCTCTCCCATCCAGACCTCACTCCAGACCGCTCATGCCAGGGCAGCTTAACTCGTTCAGCTGCACCGCAGATGGGGCCTGCTGCTAGAGGCGGCTGTCTCCAGGGAGTCCTCACTGTACCAGCCCTGCTGGCCGCCTGTCGAGCAGTTTAAGGTTACTGCCTCACAGGGAGGGGCAACAGGGCTGGAGGTGGGTGCAGCTGAGATGCCCAGGCCACCCGAGTTTGGTGCTAGGAGAGGACTTAGACGGGCACAAGGTCAGCAGTAGCCCTTTGGTGCTAGCTACAGTTTAGAAATTGGATGGTTGGCTCGGTGATGGGATGACCGAAGCTCATGGATGCCTGGCTCCAAAGGCCTGTTTTGAACTTTGTGTGTGCGTGTGTGATTATTTTCTGGAGAAGTACTGTGTCTGAAAAGCAGCAAGGGGGGCCGGCAAGAGGCACAGCTTTGCCCCTACTCAGCTGGGGCACCTGGAGGGCCCATGGGCAGTCGACTCACTGCAGGGAGGGTCAGGACCACCGAGGATTAGGCTTGGCCTTGGGTTTATTCTGTATGGGAACAAAGTGCTGGGGGCTGCCTAAACTGGGGCAAGAAAGAGGTAATTAAAAGAGGGGTTGTAGAAGGAAGGAGACGCTACCATCAGGGTGGGTGGAGGAAGTGTTTTCCATAAGAATAACAAGCTGGAGCAAATGTTATGCAGAAGGACTTTATTTCACCAAAACAAAACCAAAAAGTTCACATTCAGCCTCATGCTGAGCTATGCAACATGCAAACTTTAGATAGAACCTTGAACCTGCGGGAGGTGTCAGCCCACAGTTTAGAAAGGGTAATGAGGAGGTTTTTCTGGGTACTTCTCTGTTCCTACCATTGTGATTCTACCTGCATCAGCTGGGGGGGTGGGCTCCTGACCTCCCAGCCTGAGTCTGTGGGGAGATCACTCAGAAGGCACCGCATTCATCAATGCCATTTCTGGTAAATTGGACCTAAGGCTTCGGAGTGTCCTAAGAGGATGGCAGCCTACACAGTGCGCATATCGATGTCAGAGCCCAAGCCAGGACCCACACACATTCTGTAGCCCTTATGCGCTATTACTATGAGTTTCACAAGCAGCCATACTAGATTTTTCCAGGACATTTCTGACTCCAAGAGTGCTGGGCCTTGTGTTTTAAAAGGGCGTGCTGCCCTCATTAACGTCACTGGTATTGTGCAAGTGTGTGCCCGAAGTGTCCCAACACTGGAGGAAATGGCTTAGGTGTGAGGCATGGACCCATCTGTCCCCACTCGTCTTCTGTCCACCGTGTGTAGCCCGGAAGCCTTCCTTGAAGTCCTTATCCTAGGCAGTCACAGGAGTCTTGGGGGTGCTGGGTGATAAAACATCCCTTTGAGGGCCTGTCCAGGTAGGGCGCTGGGCAGGGCGTCTGTCTGGGGAAGAGGTAGGACAGGGCTCTCCGGGTCGCTGTGGCCCAAGGATGAGCGGTTTCCCGCCTGGGGACACAGCGCGCGCCGCCTCACTAGGGCCTGCTGCCGCCTGTCCCCCGGGCGCGGGCGGCTGCAAGCCGGCCGCCATTTTGACCGGGCGGCGCGGGTGGCGCTAGCGCTGTCCCCGGCGATGGGACCGCGGAGCCGCAGGCCGGGCCGCCGGCAGCGCGGGCGTTCCTGGGCTGGCTGGGGACGCGCGGCCTCCGTTCCCCGTGGAGCCCTGTCACCTCCACAGGCCACACTGACCCCCTGGTCGAGGACAGCAGGGCAGCCGTCCCTGGAGAAAGCGCGGCCTGCGGATCGCCAGGGCGGATTTTAGTTCCGAGAAACGACCTCTTGTTCTCGCACTCCGGCGATGGTCAACATGTTACCACCTTTGGGAACACAGCGCCAGGTCTGCGCGCCCCGGAACTTGAGCTGCTGTTCCCAACTGCAACTTGCAGAGGTAGCTCTGCGGGTGCGGGGGCGAGGCCTGCTGTACGGTCCCCACCACGCAAGGCTTTCCGAGGCAAGCTCTTTGGCGACAAGAAAGGACCTGAAAGTTATCACAGTTTGATGGCTCTGGATTGGAGAGGGCCGTAACTTTATTTGTCCACGTTTGTGAATTTAATATGCATTTATGGAGAACTTGCTAAGCCAAGGCAGTGTGTTAGGACCTAGCGGAATCCAAAAGTGAATTTTTAAAAAGGCACCTCTGGCCAGGGGTGGTGGCTCAGGCCTGCAGTCCCTACACTTGGAAGCTGAGGCAGGAGGTTCGAAGCTAGTTTAAGACCAGCCTGGGCTCCAGAATGAGCTCAAGGCCAGCTTGAACTACCTAATGAGACCCTGTCTCAAAAAAAAAAAGAAAAAAAAAGGGCACTTCTAGCCCTCAAGCAATTTACATTCTAAGTACAAAAACACATTTGCAAACAACTAAATGCAAATAAAAGGTAACATAAGATGAACGTAAATAAAAGGCATGCATACTGCACTAAATGGCCTGGGCAAGGGTCAATTATTTTAAGAATAACCTTTACTTCTAAAAATGTAGAATCAGTTCTGGGAAAGAAAGGGAGGACAAAAATTTACTAACACTGGAGAGTTCCAAGGTTCCAGGGAATAACAGTCATTATTTCTGAAAAGCTGCTGTGTAGGAAAAATGGTGAAAGTTTATTTAAACTAAGCAAATACCAAGGATCAGAAACTGGATTCATTTCTCAGCTCCTGACATTAGCTGGGTGGCAGGGATGAGATTTTCCACTGAAACACAATACCCCCATTTGAAATCAGTAAAACTCCCACCACATTTCAGAAAATGAAGTTTCAGGGAATACAACTATGAAAATGAGGCAAATAAAAAGGAAACAATTATTAACTCCAGGAAAAACAAATCTCACAAGAAAGGAAATGTAATCAGTGACACTTGTCTCAGCAATGAATGATATATATGTGATTACAAAATAAAACCTGAGCCGGGCGTGGTGTTGCACGCCTGTAATCCCAGCACTCGGGAGGCTAAGGCAGGAGGATCGTCGCTAGTTCGAGACCAGCCTGGGCTACAAAGTGAGCTCAAGGCCATACTGAACTGCATAGAGAGACTCTGTCTCAAAAAGACCAAAAAAAAAAAAAAAAAAAGTGGATATGAGTTTAATAAGACTATGATCTAGCACTAGTGAGAATAGGGGAGAAGTATGAACAAACTTAAAACCCTCCTCTACCATCTTAAAAAGTCCACAGATGATAGTGCGCATGGATTACTTAAGAGAAGGTCATGTCTACGTATTATTTATAAATAGTATATATACCAGAAGAAAGAGATAAACCAAATGAGTACCCACAGGAAACTACTTTTTTGTATTAAATTTTTACATACAATTTGGCCTCCTAAGCTTTAGACAAATATGCCTTTCTCAAAAATACAAACTAAGTTTTTAAAATTAAAAAGCACATAGATAAGCCATATACTCAAGAGGCTGAGGCAGGAGGACTGCCTACAGTTTGAGGCCAGCTTGGGCTATACACAGTGAGTTCAAGGCCAACCTGGACTACAAGTCCCTGTTTCAACCCCCCAAAGCAGCGCCCCATGGGTACGTAGAAGAGTAAAACTGAGAATTCCCAGTTAGCATGATGTAACCAATGTCCTTGCAAAACACCCAACCCAAATTGCCCAAAGCATGGAAAGAAACGAGGAGGCAGGGTGCAGGTGTGGCCTTGTGGTCTAGCCTTGCCTGCCATGCAGGAGGCCCTGGGCTTAACCCCCATGTATGGCAAAATAAAAACAAATAAACTAAAAGCATCAGGGAGACACATGAATGAAATCTGAGCTCCTGCCCTGTATATTCCAGGTGACAAAGCTGTAAGAATAAGTCACCCAAATTTCACCTTCTCAGGAGACAGGACAGTTATGTGGAAATACATTTCAAAATTTATTTATTTATTTTTTATTTTTTGAGACAGAATCCACGATGTCGTCCAGGCTGCCCTTCAACTCTTGATCCTCCTGCCTCAGCCTCCTGAATGCTAGAATTTTTTTTTTTTTTTTTTTTTGGTCTTTTTGAGGCAGGGTCTCGCTATGAAGTTCAGGCTGGCCTTGAGCTTACTATGTAGCTCAGGCTGGTCTCTAACAATGATCCTCCTGCCTCAGCCTCCCAAGTGCTAGGATTACAGGCGTGCGCCACCACGCCCGGCTCTGAATGCTAGGATTACAGGCACATGCCACCAAAATCAGCTTCAAAGTACTTTGTGAAAAATCATTTCCAGCTGGGTGCAGTGGTGCATGCTTATGATCCAGCATTCAAG